ATTTTACAGTTAAAATAAATGTTTATCAAATAAAGTCTAATGTTACAACTAATCATGGATCCCTTTAAAGATCTGTAACTAATTTAAAGTCCACTGAGGCCCCTGCTGTTCTGTCTGAAATGACAGATCAGATCCAGGACCAGACTGAAGTCCTGTCTCCGCCCTCTGAACAGAACCAGTGGAACTATCTGCAGGTCAGTGATGAAGTAAAGAGCTCACCGTTCAAAGCGCTCCGAGGTCAGCTGTCGTTTCAGAACATCCATCTCCGTCTGCTGCTGAGACACTTTACCATGGAGCTGGGACACGTCTCTACCAAGGTCTGCACTTTAGATTAATGTAGAAATGATTTAATAAGTTTCATTCATTCAGTTTACAGCAGTATGATGCTTTGTTTAGAGTTCATGTGTACTTTTTGCTCTCAGCCAGAGTGAGCCTGTCCCGCAGGACTTTCAGCTCAGACTCTCTCTCGCTGGCGGTCAGATGGGTTTGGAACTCTTTCTGCCGGTTCGTGGACAGAAGCGTCTCTAGGCTGCGCACCGTTAGCCTCTCGCTGGCTAGTTGTTTCTTCAGGAGCTCCAGCTCAGAGCGAACATCTTCCAGTTCTCCAGTGACCTGAGAACAAGAAGCAGAGCCGTGACGGGAGGTGTACCTCCGGCTGCTCACAGAGGAACACAACAGAGAAAAGTCCAGTCCAAAGCAGACCTCACCCTCTCTAGGTCCATGGTCTTGGAGGTGAGCTGGCGGCTGGTGAGCTCCTTCCCAGCATTCAGCTTGACACAGAGCTCTCTGACAGAGGCCAGGTCCAGGAGGAGAGCAGCCTTTTCCTCCTGAGCGSCGTGTAGGTCTGTTTCAGTCTTAGCCATACCGCGGAGCAGAGAGGAGAGCTGGGCTTCATACGCCTGCAGAGCCTCTGTGTGCTGAGGGCAACAGGTAAGACTTTAAGGCCGTCCCTGTGTCTGAACGGATGCATACCATTGGTTTAAACTGTAATCATCCAATGATGAGGTAGAGCTGTTAAGGGCCAATATGTGTTTCTCAGGCATGTATTTAAATACTATACCATAATAAAGTATCTATGTCACCTTTAGCTGTTATTAAAATGCCGTTTTTATGTTTAAATACAAAATAAACCTATCTTCTCATCACTTCCTCTTCTAAATGCCTTGAAATTGGCCTCTGTCTCTTTAGGAACCTCCTCCTGCTTCTGTCCCATCCCATTTCAGTGCGGGGTGTCGAGCTTGCGCRTGCGCCATGATGCAGTTTATTTGGCTTCTGAAAATACATTTCCTTAAAGGTATTTTTAATCTGAAAAGAGCTTCACTGAATGAGAACTAATGTTGAGCTAAGCAGACAGTTAAGTTTCACTTTCAATTTCACCCGAGAGCCTGCAGGAGTCATAGGCGGGGTGTGTGTGTGTGTGTGTGTGTGTGTGGGGGGGGGGCGCTCTGACATGAGGAAGTTCGGCTTAAAGACACGTCCCAGAGTTGTTTCTGGTTCCAAAATGCGTTTCTGGTCCCCACCTGTCATTTTGCTCCTCAACATGGCTTCATAAAAACAACGCTGCAGGATTTCTCAAACATGATGAATGAGTCAAAGCAAGGCTTTGGGCATGTTTTTATGAGAGTATAACATTATAACATGATATAAAACTCAAAAAAGTTGATTTTACATGATATTGCCCCTTTAAATGAAATCAGTCTCAGGCAATAAAGTCTCTAGGTTAGGTTAGCGCTCAGCTAAATAGCAGCTAGCTTGGTGTTGGCTAATATTAGCTGCAGGCTGCTTCCATCTTTAACTCAGTAGCTCCATCAGAACTACGTTTCATGATGAAAATCACGTCATTCTGTTCGCAACTTTGAATCTGCCGCCCCTTCGTGTCACAACCCACCGAGAGAACTTTTATCCCCCTCCAGGTAAGAACTTACTGTGTGATTTATAGGTTGACCGATACATCAGCTGGCCGAAATTTGTAGTTTTTTTCCTTTTATCGGTTCATGCGTTTGGCTGATCCATTTGTTTGATCATGTGTTCAAACGCAGTGGTGGGCACCAGCCCGCTAAAGCGCAAATCTGCTAATTGCGGACCTAAATATTTCATTTGCGCTTTAGCTGTCTTACTAATTTTTATAATTCATAAGCAGATTTGCGCTTTCTAAAATTAAAATACAGTACCGCTAATAACTAATTATCTACCAGTCATCATTATGTTGAACAGCAGAAGGTATGGCTGTCAATGAATCACAACACGTGATCTATCCAACAGCTCCCCTCCCAGATAAACACACTTATTGTGAAGGTATACATCCTTGCTGACTGTTGCTTTGGGTCACGGTTCTCATTTCCCACAATGCTTTGTGTCTGCTTAAGTAGCAGGAAGGCAATAGGGCTCTAGACTAACTTTTTGCACTGGTTGCACCGGTGCATCTAACATTTTTTCTTAGGTGCACCAGCACAAAAGCTAGGTGCACCCAAATTTTCAACCACGTCACCTAACAGAGTTTTACAGGTTATTTTTTAATCACTGTTCATTAAGGCAACATTAACTCAAAAATAATTAGTTAACAATCTAGTAAACAAAGTTCTTCATTTGAACCAGAATTATAGACATTTAACTTAGTGAAAAGTATTTAAAGTGATTCTATAAAATTCTAAGTGCAAATGTTTAAGGGTTGAACGTCTTATAAACATATTAAACATTTCATGGTTACATTTTTTTTAGACACCTGCCCCTCAGATAGACATCTCTGGATCTTTGGCCTTGGATAAACCAGAATGATGAACAGAGAATAATGATTAATAACAGAAATATTACTGATATTTATTAAAAGGTTGTGCAGATTTTTTTTAAAATAATAACACATAAAAGTTTGCAATTTCATCATTAGTTCAATCTTAATATCTTATATTATTTCACTTAAATTTCTAATATGTCTAGTTTTATCCTCCTGAGACCCAGAAGAACCTATTTCAGATACTTGGAATGTAACTGTGGTGAAGTCGATTAAGTGCAAAAGAGGCCTGCCATACACGTGAGCTTTCTCGTCCTGCTCAAATGATCTGCAGTGCTCAGACCCCGACTGTTACATTAACAAGATGGACGAGCGAGCAACCGTCCACATCTTGTTTTCATCTCCAGCTAACAAGAAAGAACTGTTTTTCAGACTCTGATCTGGGTAAAAAAAAAACTGGTTGCTTCGCTATGCGTGCACGCATGCGTGTGTGTGTGTGTGTGTGTGTGTGTGTGTGTGTGTGTGTGCGTGTGTACAGATTTTTGCTTCATGACGGGAACAATTATTGACCATTTCCCCGGTACACACAGCCTGGTGAGGTTAGGGTTTGGGTCAGGTGTGTAGTCTACCTGGGAGGTAATAGTTGGATAGGGACAGGGAAATGAATGGAAGCCAATGCAAAGTCCCCATTAAGATAGAACAACAAACGTGTGTGTGCGGGAGGTGTGGAGCGGAGCCCGCGAGCAGAGCGCAGTGTTATTAAGAGAGATGAGACTGTCGGAGGGCGACCATTGATACTGCTGGATTATTTTTATGGAACATGATGAAAACTTTTACTTTCAGCGGGCGACCGCTCTCCCTCTCTCGCACCAGTGCGACCGGACATTTTTTTTAGTCGCACTATTAGGAAATCTGGTCGCATTTGTGACCAAACTGGTTGCACTCTAGAGCCCTGGGCCATGTTTAGAACTCACTATCCCAGCAAAAACAGTAAACGTTTGTAATCCATACTAAAATCTTGTATGTATTGATTTATTTTACTTTACAATCGGAGCTCCTTTTTAAAAAAAAAACGTTTAAACGCTGGAGCTCAATACTTGACGTACTTGACGTTGGTCGAAGCAATCGGCCATCTAGTGGTCAACTGGAGCAACTACATGGAAAACTTTAAAATCCAAGCTTTTATTTTGAAGTTCGCAAATAGTTTCCTGTACTCCGTGCTTTTGTTTCCCATCACAAATCAAATCCGTCATGTACCCAGAATGCATCACTTCAGTTTTCCAATAAACAGTTTTAAAATTACTTTATTGATGCTTCTTTAGTGAAAAATCTACAACAAACAAAAGAAAAAGACAAAGAAGCAGCCGAACTAGCAATCCTCAACAACTTTTTAATTTTTACACCAGGAGTCAAAGGCCTGTTTCAGGAAATCACATCCCCAGGATTCGGTGGTTGTAGAATTAAGTTGTAAAAGAGTTCATGCACTGCTAGTTGGCAATGTTGTGCATATATTGTACATGAATTATTGCCATCTAGAACTTGCACTTTAAAATTAGCTTCTGCTAGTTTTTCTATGGCATAAATGTTTTTGAGGTTGCAGACCTATATATTTTCATAAGTGCTTTAGAAATTGCGGAGCTAATTTTTGGATTAGCGCTGCCCACCCCTGTTCAAATGTATGAACACAGCATTAGAGTCGCGACGCAGCTTTTCTTTGGTGCACATTTCAAACTGAGATCTAAAGTTTGTTAACGTCAGCTGGTTTAACTGCAATTTTTGCCCAGTGGGAAAGATGGGTGCAGAGTGAGGCTGTGAGCGCTGTGTGTGTGTGTGTGTGTGTGTGTGTGTGTGTGT